ACTACAACTACATTAAAATGTATGTTGTTTTAGCGATTTACAAAGGAAATTGTTATGTCATTCAAAACTGTTGCAAAACTAAAACTTACCGGTAGCTTTATTAATAATAATATTAGCTGTATACCTACGTCAAAATTTTATGGACACAAAAAGTTGTCTTAGTGGCAAACGTAATAGACCTGAATGACGTCACTTATGTCCTTACCTCCAGCGTCTACAACTAAAAATGGTTGTTACACCAATGCAATTGCAAGGACATGCACACAGAGCAACAAACCCGAACACACACAACATCCCATTCACACGCCGGTGAAAGGCACACTCATGCTCACACTCCGAGTGTTAATGTGAAAGTCTTGACACTTCAGGGACCTAGTGATCCCCAGATCCATCTCTGTCCTGACAGCAGCCCTCCATTAGCCACAAAAAGATGGCTGCAGATTGCAACCCAATGTTACCTTATCAGAAACACATACAGCACTCAAACCTGAGCAGAGAGCATTTTTCACTTGGAGAGCACTTACACGTAAACATAGCCACAGCTATAACCATCGATATGCAGTCAGGTAAAAACTGTGGCTGCTCAGTATGGTTTAGAGGTTGCTGTTTTGTCAAGCTTTTATAAATATTTAATGTGTAGTTCCTCTGTTTAATCATTAWAACACACAACTAACTGCACAAACACTAAAGTCAAAACACAAATTACTTCATTCAAATGTGAACCCAAGGCCAACTTACTTGTCACAGTCCCCAGCAGTGATGTTGTAAAGGTGATTGGCAGCTCCATCAGCACATGCCCTCAAGAGAGCTAAAGACAGAAARGCATACAGTTTGTGAGCTTGTGTTTATGCACGGCACACCCTACTTTTTAATTATTTTCCRAGCAAAACATTGTTAAATTTGATCTAGTTTGAACTTGTGACTATTTTTAGAGTTCAAGTAAAGTGGTTTCCACCTATTCCTGTGCAACATTAGAGCACAGCACWACATTAGAGCATTAGAACACATCTCACTGGGCCACAACTGTTGATGAATGTCTCCAAACATTTCCTGGGATTCTCAACTTCCTCATATCTATCTTAAAAGGGGCACAATCTTGACACCTACACAACAGGTTTGCCAGAAAATATCTGTGATTTTTAAAATTTTCCACAAATTCACAATTCAGAAGGACTGAAACAGAAATATATATTTTTTATTTTCTGATAATTGTCTCAGAAATCTAAGTCGCTAACTAGCTTACAAAGTCACAACACAGTGAGATACTACATTTAAGTATCAAGTTTACATTTTGTACTGATGTATTTAGCCACACTCACAGTAAAATAATCAACTATCTTTCAGTGTTCCCAAAATTAGGAAAAATTAAAAATAATAAATGTCACCAGGTCCAGAAATTCAGTAAATACAGTCTTGGATGAAATCAACTCATGACACACTGTATTATACTAATTACTAGTTCAGCTAAGTTGAAGGTTAATTACTAAACACTATGGTAAGATTGCAAAAGCAGCACGTTAAKATATAGATACATGCTTACTGCATCTAGAGACATAAAAAGCAGGAGTGCATAATATTATTGGCATGTAGCAACAGYGATGTTTTAAAAATGTTTTAAAATTAAATATTGTCAATAACCAAATGTAGTTGAAATTTGGTCTGGTTGAGACAAGTGTCAAAAACATCCAAGTCTCCTAAAGCTGGATGAAGTCTACAACTATGTGTAAAAGAATCAATGAAGATACTGATACTGTATTTAGAAAGTTTCTTTCTTAATGTAACTTTGGAATTTAGAAATAAGAGAAGACAAAAATCTTAAATGTGCTACAGGATAAGCTTAAGGATCATATGGCCATGTTGGAAAACAACAGTCGTATCACAGGTCAGATAAAGAACAATATTGTTTGACCCTTGTTAAAAGGATGAGAAACAGCCTGAGGCTGTTTAACAAATGCTTGAATGCTTGAAAATATCACTGTATAGAAGCAACAGTGCAAAAAGGAATTAAAATTTATCAGCAACAATGTGAGTCARTAAGGTCTCAATAAGGTCATACAGAAGGCAATTCCTTTAGTGGATTGGTGCTGAACATGGCTCTATCAAACCGTAAGTAATATAAGTTTTAAACACTTTCGAATTCTGGCTTAATTTTAATAACTGTTTACAATGACAATTATAGTTGTGTTTTTTGTACCTCTGGTGTAACTTTTACATCATTTTAGGACTTGGAAAGGTACTTCTTTTACATACGTGAGTTTTTTATTTGTTTTTTGTTTTTTAAGGTCCCGCTAAATAGAAAAAAATAAGTAAGTAAGTAAAATTTTATTTAAATAGCACCTTTCACAGAAATAAATTCACAAGGTGCTGTACAAACAGTTAAGAATGCCCATTCCAAGAAGACACACATGACAAACATGGGGGAACAGGTGAACAGGTCATGCAGCAACAGAGACAGTTGCGCTACCTTTAGCAGCTTGCTAGAAATACGCAAGAAAAAAGTTGAGCTAAAAATATTGYTCTGATCCTATGTTTACATCAGACACATAGGGAAATATGCACATAAAATGACTCGCGAGAGAGCAGACAGCTTGGGGGTGGGGGGGTGTTAGGTCAGATTACACATAGGGGGTAGGTAAGATGGGGCGGGATCAGAGGAGTAGGTGACGTTGAGGGAGGAGGGTCCATGCTAGGACCCAACCCTGGCCACCTCCAGAGTCCAGAGTCACATGATGTTATCGTCTCCTGCTCGTTTAGTAGAGTTCAGAGTTTCTCTTCCTCGGCCTTGGGTTCCGGAGCCAGGACCAGCACGGGTGATGGGGGTGGGAGGGGATCGAGCCTTTGCTGACATTCCATCCCGGGGAGTTTCAGATAATGTGCCTATCAAGGCCATTTTGCTGGGAGCCAATAGATAATCCAATTTGTTTTGGAACAAAGCAGCCTTGAAATTTTCTGCTGCTTTTAAAATGTCAACTGCATCTCTGAAGTGGCGGGAAAAAAAGGAAAAACCAATCATCTGAATTTGGGGTCTTCCTCGCCTCTCACCAACTGAAGCTTCACCCAGGTGTAATCCTTACATGTCGGAGGCTCGCTCTTGAGATGCGATCCTCGTCAGAATCACATCCAGTTTGCGATTAATCTCCCCCAGCTGAAAGTCTGTGTGCTACCAGCCCGGCAAGATCCTTCGYCGATCAGCAGGAATCCAGTTATCATAAATCCAAATATATTAAAAAATAAAATAAAATAAAAAATAAAATAGTGATATATGGTAAATTAACTTGAATTCCATAAGCATAATTTTAGTGCAAATACAATTCACACAATCTGTTCTCACAATCTATACAATTTTTTGGAGTTTTATTGCAAACATAATATTATTGCTCTAACAAAAAAAAGATTAAAACAAAACACTGAATGATGATAGGTTGTTAAAGGATTAACAGAGACATTAATGTCAGACTAAACTAAAACATACATCTATCACGTATCACTTCAAATTCAGTGTTAWGTATGTCCTCATCATTAGACCTTCGCAAAAGGTCTGTGATCTCAATGGGATTTGTCTGGTTAAATAAATGTTAATAATAAATACAATAATCATTTGGAATATGGTTTTTGATGGTTTTACAAAATATACTTTTTTTACAATTACAAATAGAGCATGCCATTGTGCAATTCAAACACAATTCTTTTAAAGCCAAAAGCAGTAACGATGTTTCTGTTAAATGAAAACAAGTTGTACATGTTTGAATAAGGTTCAAATCAGTTGAAGTGCAAATGCAGCAAAATGATTAAAAATAATTCAAGGTGGTTGTTATTTACAACTCCTAAAACAATATTCATGATGCACTAAATTAGATGCTAAATATTTGCAAATGCATGCTCTTTCATGGCTTATGTTCCTTTCAAATTAAATAGAAAGTCTATTCCTTTAGCTTTCCTTTTTTGTTTTTGGGGCTGTTGTGCATGCTGGGAAAAACATCAGTCAGCCTTTGAAACTTTGTCGTTTGAACATAAATTTTACCATTTTAACATATTCAGATATGCTTGATTGTGATTTTTTTCCATTTCATTTACACTTTAACATTTAGAACGGAGGTGTTAGCAAACTGTTATTTACAGAATGAATTTAACTATCTGAGGTGCTAATTAAACAACTCAAGTTAGTGTGTTTAATTAGCAGCAAAATAAMAGTGGAAGATGTTGCTTTGTAACAGCAAACTTCACACTTCAGGAGAAAAAATACTCTCATTCTCTGATTTGCACAAATCATAAATGTGAATAAATCAGTTTACTGCTGAGTGCACTTGTGACAACTTCTGCTAAGCTTCAGTGCAATTATTCATTACATTTCACACAACTTACATTAGATAAGCAGCACAACGACCTCTAAAATATTTTGAAAAGTACAACTATGCAGTCAAAGTCAAAACCACATTAATTAACATTCACAAATATATTTATTTTTGGCCCAGGTTTAATGAACAGAAAACAATTATTTTATCTYAGATACCAAGAATTTTGCTGTGTTGTTAAAAGCTGTGAGAATGAAGATGTTTTTGCACTGATGTAAATAAAACACTTATACTCAARGTACTGCTTTTATTCATAACCTCCACCACCTGCTGTCTGTGTTTTGCATGAAGGAATGTTCGGAATGAATGTAAATGACTCATTATCTCTGACAGAGAACAAAGGCTGAAAAACTTTTCAAATGACAACTTCTCAGAAAGAAAAAAAAAAGAAACTTTTTTTACACATGGCAACAGACTGTAACAGTAGCAGTCATTTTCTGTGTACAGGTTTCTGCGCGCGCACACACACACGCACGCACCTTGAACAACTTTTACTGAGATGTGTGTGTGTAACATGGCATTTAAGAGAATAATCAAACTTTGTCTCTAAAACTAATTACAATAATACCATAGTCAGTTTATGTGCATGTAAATGAAAAGTGAATGAAATTGGTGTTGCATAGGGCTCAGCTGACTGCGTGCGTACCCTCGCAAGCAGTGTCGGCGTCAATACTTGACGCTCATGCTGGTGTAGTTTTCTYCAAAAGCACACATGGAAGTACACCTTATACCTTGTGAAATGTAAAAAGGAGAACAAACATTTCACAAAGTACTTGAATTGGGCGGCGCCGTGTGGAGTTACAAAAATTTGAGTTCACCACAGCTTTCTTTCTTTCTCAGGATGTACCAAACTGTAGATTWTGCCACTCCTAATATTGAAGCAATTKCTCGGATTTTTAAAAAAMAATTTTTTTTGCARCTTAAGGATGCCTCGTTTCACCTGCATGGAGAGCTCTTTTGACCGCRTGTTTACTTCACAGCAAAACCTTCCAAATGCAAGCACCACACCTCAAATCAACTCCAGGCCTTTTATCTGCTTAAYTGAGAATGACATAACGAAGGGATTCCCCACACCTGTCCATGAAATAGCCTTGGAGTCAATTSTCCAATTACCTTTGGTCCCTTTAAAAACAGGGTGGCACATATTRAGGAGCTGAAACTCCTAAACTTTTCATCCATTTATAATGTGGATACCCTCAAATGAAAGTTGAATGTCTGGACTTTATGTCCATGTACATTATACTGTACAACTATAACTTGAATATTTTTAAGTAAACAGGTAAAAAGACAAAATTTGTGTCAGTGTCCAAATATATAAGGACCTAACTGTATGAACCAAATACAGCTGTGGAATGTCAATGATAAGTCTTAAGAGAGCAACATGGCAACATGTGACTCATGTTGTCTGTTGAAGAATGTTCATGGGTTGACTGGGTTATTTTAGTGCTTTAGAATT